AAAAAAAAAGGAAAAAGAAAGTGAGTTAAACATAAAGCATTGTAAAATTTGGGTATGAAGGAGTAATGTCAGTTATCCTCAATGTAATTTAGCTCATCTGACTATAATAGCAGTTGTCAAAGTCAGGAGAATCACAAAAAACCGTAATACTTTTGAAAGCTGGTTCTATGTTCTTAAGGGTTAAAGAAGATAGGTCCATCTGTTGAAAGTGCTAGGGTTTTTTATCAGGTTTTGGTTTTCTTATGTTGTCTAGAAATCAATCTGAATCAAGAAAAATTTGTATATACAGTAATTGGTTTTAAAATTTAAAATCTATTGGTACATCTGTCATGAACTAATGGACTACCTTAGAATTTTTGTTTTGATAAATATAACTTTTAATTATTTTCACTTTTGTTGTGGCAAGTATTTTAAGTTTTCTAATGAGATCTAGTCTAAATCAAATGTAACACTGATGATAATAACTAATTCTTAACTTTCATCAGCCCAAACTCCATGTATAACTTGTATTTTAGCTTTAATGTATATGATGATAAGAAGAGACAAGTGCTTTAATATGTGCCACGTAACATTCATTTTTCATAGTATTGTTCTCCTTAACATCTAACACGTGCATAACATCAAGCTATTAATTAAATGTTGCTTCCCAAATGTTTGTTATTGTTTATGCTATTGTTGAAAATTAACAAGTCTAACAATACCCAATATAAGGCCATATTAAACAACTCTAGATTGTTGGTATTAGCAGTTGTCTACTTCTATTGGCCACTGTAATTCCATAAATAGTGTCGTTTGAAATTTGTATATGGTATAAAATATTGTTGGTTTTGTTCCTTTTTAATTTATATTCACGTGAGCATAAGTTATTGAAACAGTGTGCATGCTAATTTGGATAAAAGTTTATAACAATTTATGGATATCTCAAGAATTTTTAATTTACTTTCTTATAAAACAATTCCTCTTTTCCTATTAAAGGAAAAATCTTATTGTATGTTCCTCGAACTTTGTATATGTGAAGTAAGATATTCCTTTTTTTTTGTTTTATTTAAACATAGCACTTTTAGAGAATTTGTGAATTCCTGAGCATTAACCATAGCAATACTGCCTTGAGTGGTATTATTGCTGGATAAAAAAAAAAAGAAGAAGCCATTTGATAGAATGTAATGAAACAGTTGAGCAATCTAGAATTAAAGAACATAACTTTTTGGAGATACGGGCATTGGCATCAAAAACCACATCCCAAGGTTGACTGTGTCTTCACCTGTAAAATGATGAAAGAGAACCTCTGACCTAAAAACCCATTGTTTCTTATAAAATACTAGCAGCATTACCTAGCATTGTGAATTTATGAAAAAAAAAACACCTTAGGTTTGATTTTTGAAAATAAACTACAAACTTGTTCGAAATCAGGACTTTTTTATGAATGATGTTTTTTTGTTTTTCCTTTACTGGCAAGAATAAATAGGCCCTTATGGAGAATACTTAGATTATCTTATGCACGTATGACTATTCATTCTGGTGAACAGGATAAGCCTAGCTCTATTCCCCATCATTGATCCTCATATATTAAAATTTCAAACATAAATATGTATGTAATATTATGTTGAACTTGCTTTAATGTAAATTTAATATATTTTTATGAATGTGATACTGTATTCACATTATGACAGTGATGTATGAAATATACTTCAAACAAAATGCAATATTGTACTTTATAATGTATCATAAGAAACAAAATTTACTTCCAGGTATCGAATCACCTGGAGAAAAAAAAAAGTAGAATAAAATACATTTGTCTACTTGACTTTAATCTCATCTTACACAATAAGTTTTATAATGTAAGCCTTACTCTTTTCATGTAGTCTATTTTATGGTAGACAGCATAATTTTATTTCATAGGCTAGGCCTACTGTTTGCTTTTTCACACACAACATTCTGATTCTGCATACTTTTTTTTTGTTGTTTGAGGTTAAATATATAATGTATTAGTAGATGTATAATTAATAATCTGTAACTAAATAGGCCTGTTTATTCTAATTGTAATAAAAAAATAATAATTTCCATGTTCAACCCATATTTCACTACATGCAAGTGCTCTACCAGTTACACTGACTTTAATCTCATTGTACACAAGAAGTATCATAATTTATAATTATAATTTGTATGAAGCTAAATAATGATGTATAGTTAATGATCTATAACTAAATAGGCCTATAAATTAAATGTTAACTCAAACTTACCCAAAAATGTTTAGGCTGCATAGAATTTATTCGTGTAATGAATATGTTAAAAATAAAATTACCCGTTCGGCTAGCAGATGATAGATGCGTATATCAACCAAAAATTGTCGTTTTGCACACCTTCACGTGAGGGGAGTGTGACCTGCGCAGTGAATGCAATGGACAAACAAACAAACAGAGATTTTGAGTTTTATATATAGATGATAAATCTCGGTATGAAATAATGACTGGCAGACAGAACCCGAAACATTGTTTCTTATAGAATATGATTAACCTCAGTGGTTATATATCCTAGTTCTATTAATAAGAACATAAATAAGGATTTTAAGTTGATGAATGTTCATGAGTGAAAAGTTCATAAGTTTCCAATCATATCTAGAAATTAGTAGTTGATCTCTTTAGAAACATGACTGAATGAACTGAAATCATAACACGCCCATTCAACCACCTGTCTTATCAAGTCCTCTAATGCAACTCCAATGAACTTTCATGCTTTTGGTCTGCTTCAACATGGTTCTGGAAGTTGACTCTGCTATCTTTTACAGGAAATTGCAGTGTTAGGTTATAGTATATAATCATGGCTGTCAGCTAGAACTCAACTAAAGATAGTTTCAAGGGCAGATAGTACTTGAAACAGTGTTTCGTATGGAGTATATTAACCTCAGTACATAATCATTAATATTCTGGGCTCTTATGCATTAATAAGTTTATTTTATTTCAGGCATCTAATAAACCTATGCTCAGATCTTCTGGATACTCCTGACTTTTACTGGGATAAGCAGAATTTAGAGGCATTATATCATAAAACTTGTAACCACCTGAGTGTGACCAAAAGAACCAAGGTAACTTGTAGAAAGGTTTATGTGTAATCCTGTACCAAATTTTGTTTTTGTGATTATAGTTTATCCAAGGTTTAAAGACAAGATGTTTCTCTTCAACCAAATCTTATTTCAATGAACATAATTTTAAAACCTTAGTCAGTATTTTAATTTTAAGTTTAGTCCAACTGAAAAGCTTAATATTGGAGCTTCAGTCTCTATAAACTTTGTGTAATAATTTTATGGCTTCTTCATTCAAGGATAGAACTAGTTTTTTGAGTAAACCTTCCCATAGTGCTCTTTCCATTTCCAATAAGAACAGAACTTTATTTTTAATATGAAACTAAAAACTTCTACACACACACACACACGAAATATATTTCCATAAACTTGTAGAACAGGTATTCAGAACATAAACTTTATTATTTGGATAAAAAAAGCTATCTTTGTTTAATGCTATGACAAAACTACACTTTTTATATCAGTGGCTGAACCTTAGTCTTAAATTTTTTCCAAAAATTGAAAGAAAATGAAAAACAAAAAATTATCTCATTAAGTTTTTTCAGAAAGACTTTACACTTTTGATATAACTAACAACACCACAGACCAAACTGCTTCAAAAAAATGCTTTCATTTATTTTCAGGATAGGCAACAGATTTCAGACAATCTACAACAAAATCGAGTTATAGATGAAATTGGCTAGTTGACAGTCACCTTTGATTAGTTTCTTGACCAATAAAATTGTTTTTGGCTTATTTAAAAATCAGTTAATGTAGGGTCAATAAATGTTGCACAATAGCGAAATATTTTGTATAGCTTGGACATTAATTAGAAATATAAAATCATGCAGAAATTTCAGCCAGCATCATCATGGCATAAACCAGAAGAAATACCAGTGCTAAAAAGCTAAGCATTGAAAATTTAAAAATAAGGGGAAATAAAAGAAGTTCTATATGACAGAAATAAAAAAAAACATATTCTGAACTATGATTCTGGCTATATATCTACGACATCTGACAGAACGCGATTTATACCATAGGTTTCCAAACTTTTCCATCTCACCCAAGTAGATAGTAAATTTGTTTGTAATTCATACTCAACTGGGGATATACTTTTCTAATATGTTTCAGTTAAGTCTGGTAGTGCTCTTATATTTTGTTTGTTTAAAAACATTTTAGGATAACCATTTTTAAATAATTTTAAAATAATAATGTTTATTATGCTGGGTCTTGTTCTATGGTCCATCACAATACCTCTTGAGTAACACACCCCTCTTTTTTTTGCACAAACACTAGAAAACTTAGATAATAAAGTTATTTATCAAAACCATGCCTTGAATGTTTGTTAAGAAACGTAACTCAACCTGATAAACAATTTGTGATGAAGAATTTTCGATTTTCCATCTGTAGCTTCTAAGTCATGCATGTAAAACTGCAAAAGAAGAAAACATAACCTTTACTTAGAAACTAAGTGTACATTTTGAAAAACCATAATTTCTTAAATTTGGTCTTCATCAAATAAAATTCAAGTTGTTTGAAAGTGATGCTGCCATCTTTTCATTAAGCTGTCTTATCTATATGTAGGTACCTCAAAATATATCATGAAAAATATAGGTACACTTTGAAATACAGGCTTTCATGTTTCTTGGCATTTTGGGAAATCTTCAACATATGTGTGTATAGCAGAAACATTATTAAATAGGATACTTGTATATAAAATTGACACTAGATGGCACCAACTTCTGAAAAGTTCAAAGGTTGAAAACGGTTTCAGATTTCAATGAATTAATGATAGAGTTTCATATGTTAAACATCTTTAATATTTCACAAGTTTCAGTTTTTGTAATAGTTTTTCTTATACAAAATAAATTGTTCAAAAATGATATAGGTCTAACCAATGCTGATGTATAAATATCAGCTGTTTATGCATTTATTACTGTTGTATTTACATATTTTAATATGCTGTAAAATGTGATTTTTCATAAAGCAAATTAATTGAAGTAAATATGGTTATGGAAGTTAGTTAGTTTTTAACCAGTAGTCAAGGGATATTCTTAAGTTTGAAGCTTTAGTCAGGTTTACTTTAACTTGTCAGAGGTGAAGGAGGCAAATTAAAAGTGTGATGGCCTAAGGTTGAAAGAGCAAAGCAAGGGAATATGCACCACAGGTACATCCATTATGGCCAGGGTCCAGGACTTGCTTTAGGGCCCTGGATTAAATTATATGACTTCTACTTTTCCTGATAATAAATTTCCTAATTTTGATGCACTTTCACTTGAACTTATGTTTATGGCTAAATCTTGCTTCCATAACCATACAAAATAGTGTGCTGTAAACCCATATTTCTATAAGTTTATTGGTCCATGTATTTTTTTTTCTGAGATTTGATAATTCTTGTAATGTCAAGGTCCTTAACGAGAAGATAAACCACTGCTGTGAATTAATGGAGTTATTAAGTGGACACCTTAATGATCGACATCATGTTCGATTGGAGCTCATGATCATTGCACTTATCATGGTGGAGGTATGGTTAAGTAATTCACATAAGCGATGAAGATGAGATATTACCAGTAAAACTATTTATTACATGATGCTTCAAACATGAAGAAAATTAGCTTGAAACATCACTGAATAAATAGTTTTACTGACAAAATGTCATAATTCCTCGTTATTACTGAAGTATTTTCTTCCTTTTTTTTATCAGTTTTTATTTATATATGGATTGGTAACATGCCATGGTTGCTTTGTGATGTTTATTATTGTAATGATGTAGGTATGGCTTTAATAGTCATCTTTTTTTAAAATTCATCATCATCCTAGTGAATGTGAAACATGGTTTACTTAATTTTATTCTGCGTGATATTTATATAACCTTAATTTGTGTGTACTTATAAGTATGAAAATTATGTTGATATTAATTCACATAGTTAATGTATATCACTAATCATGTAAAAAGTTTCTTTAATGTTTGGCTGTGGCATAGATGCTCATAGAATGGCTTAGATTGTTTTGTTTTTTTCGAGTACAAACTTTTAGCTCATAGCTCCTCATCTATTTGAAATCTAATTAAGTTTTGGACTGAAAAGATCAAACCCTTTTTACTGATGTATTTGACCATGCCGAATGTCTCGTAGATTGATTTATTCTAATCCTGCCTAAAAGAATTTCAATTTGAGGGTAGGCTGGTAGAGATCCTGATGAGTAATAAAATCAGATAGGGTATATGTGCATCCCATGGTTGGTATTGCTGGTGCACAAATATAGCTAACGAAAAGGAAAAAAATGTCTCGTAGATTTACTCTAATCCTGCCTTAAAGAATTTCAAGTGACATGTCTATTGAGGATTCCCTCTTGTTTTTAAAGAACTTAGATATCCTATGAATGTCATGAATTGCTGATCTCTTTACAGTTGATAACTACTGGTATTAGGTATGATCTGTTTTAATGTAGGTTAAAAATATGATGTAATTTTTAGCATGTTATTATTTTAGTCTTAGTAGTATATTTGATGAAATTAAGCTGCTAAGAAATCTACAGGAGTTGTTTCTCTCTCTCTGCAGGTGGGATTTGAAGTTCTTCACTTTGCAAGAAACTTGTTGGAAACAGGGGGAAGTTAAACAAGACTACTGTAAACGTTTGTATGAAACTAAAAGTTGTTTTATGGTTAGAAGCAGGTGATTAGTACATTTTGGTGCCCTTCTGTATTTGTGTGTGAGTGAGTCACAAGGAATTGGTTTTAGTTTGAACTTACCTAACTTTTCAACAGAAAGAAATAGCAGTAGTTTTGAAATTTTTTTCAGAAGAAAATGAATGGTGTTTCTGATAGGGATACCTTTTTATTAAAAAAAATAGATGCCATTATAAACACCAGTTCCTTTGTTATTGAGATGAAGTAGTCAGTGTAAAAGCATATGTTATTTTTTACATCATTCAGGCCAAGATTTGGGTGAATTCAGTAATATATAAGCATCATTTTTTTTCCTTAAGTGACAAGACAAACATTTAATATTTTCTCTGCCTACTTCAGAGACAGTTTAGATACCTACTTAGTTTTTTTCATCTTCTGGAAAAATTGTATTTTTAGTAATGTAAATTATCATTGAGAAATATATTTTATTCATTGGAATACGAGCATGAAATAGAATCGTTATCAATGCATAATTATAAATCATGTAAGAATATAAATAATACCACGATAAAGCTTGAGTATAATTTTAGGAAAGCATAAATGAACAGATATAGCATCTTACTGGATCTTTTAGGTAACTAGTTTTGATACTCTATAATTAACAAGTTTTGAGAAAAATTATTTTTTCCAACTACTACAGGTAGGAGAGAAGATCTCTAATTTTAAACTATCCGAGATAAAAGTGTAAATTTTCCTATTTACATCAAAATGCAGCTATTGTAGGTTCTCCCCTTTATAAATAATGTACTGTATCTTCATATGAACTTTGATTTCTATATTTTTACACCACAAAGTTTTTGCAGTACTAATGTTATGTTTAACATAATTACAAGATGTTTTTTAAATATGAAGTTTCTATGTTAGCCAGAAAGTTCTTAACGAAAAGTGAATCCTTAGCTGTGAAGAAATTTGACAATTAAGTAGCATTGCAAAATTAAAGAAATTGCTAAATTTTAGTTGATTTTTGGGTTGTGTAATATTCTTTGACTTCACTTTAACCTTTTAAATGCTTATTTTAAAATATATTTCATACACTTCAGAGTTGTAGCTATTAAATTTTATAAGGTGTCTTGTATGTCATTAAAGCAATGAACATGGATGAGATAGGGTTTTTCATCATTTTTTTCCAATACAAAAAATAACAGTATACTACTTCTACTCAGATAATGTACAAGGAATTGCTTTATATAAGCATTAAGTAGATTCATCCACCAGTGTAAAGGATAGTCAATTGAATACCAAACTTAACCTACTACATGACACTGACCAAGGTTTGATTTACATTGTAAATGATACCACCCAAACTCTTTGCCTGTGCCAAAAATTTAATACAATTTGGAAAATTGCCTGTGAAAAAAAAACACCGGTAAAAAAAAACATGATATACACCTGGAAAAAAGTTAAGCACCCCCGTGTTTTTTTCAAGTGATTCAGATTCGATGTTCTTGTGACTGATTATAAATTACCATTCAATCTAAACGTGTTTATCAAATGAAATTATG